CGCTCCGCTCCGCGCCGCTCCGCACCGCTCCGCCCCGCAGCGCGCAGGCACTGCCCGGGGAACGGCGCGGCAATCACGGTAAGGTGCGTTTCGGTCGGGCTAAATGCGAACGGCAGTCACGGTGTATAGCGGTATTTAAATGGCGTGCGGCGACCGGGATGTAGATAGCCAGGGTGAGCCTCTCTCAGCCGAGGTTTAAGTCCCTGATTGTCCTTGTTTTCACCCTGATGGGCTTGTCTGAATGCGAATGTGCGGCAGCGCCGGGAGGTCCATTGTTGAGGATGCTTTACGATTCTCAGCGTCTCTGTTTGCATTTAGATACGCGGCGACTACTTCAGGCGCGTCGGCTTCGCCCGTCGGGGGCTCGGGGACGGGGCACGGGGGTCTGTGTGCCGCTGTGACCGCTGTGGCGATTGCCGACGCGTATGATAAATGTTGAAAATCGAGGGAGGCAACTTCAGAAGGTGCTCTGCCCGATGTTTTTGGGGGGCTTGTGGCGTTCGCGCTTGCTCTGCGCAGCTCCGCGGCAGGGCTGCGAGGGGTCACGCTCCTGCCTCCGCAGCGCACCTCCTTTGCTGAGGAGCCCCAGTTTTTTTTGCGTTTGACAGAAACAGGGCGCAGGAGGAGATTGTTCAGAGTGCCCCCATTGCTGGGGTGATCCTCCTCCCCGCCGTCTTTGAGCAAGATTGCAGCTTATCTCTGCCGGAGAAGCGGCGTAATGTCTGCTCACAAGGCAGAGGGAGAGCATTTCTTTTATCCCGCTCATCCCTGCGGGCAGAGCACCCGTGTAACCCGGTGTGTGAGCTCCACGGAGCTGATAAGGGCTGCGCGAGCATGTCGCCTGCATCCCTGGGGTGCACAGGACGTGAGATGGATCCTGCCAGGTACTGCCTATTTCCTCATCTTCTGCACGCTCCAGGCTCCGCTGTTTTATTTAAGGCCGCTTGTTGTTTTAGTAGCACAAGGGACATAATATCTGTCCACACGGCACGATTTATTGAGGGTTGGAAGCACGCCAAGGAGTCTAAATTCAGATTCAACTAGAAGCGTGATCCCAGCCAGCAGGCTCACTTTCTGCATGCAGCAGGTTTAACAGATACTCTGTTCTCCCTCTGCTGCTGATTCCTCCCAAAGAGCAGCTCACCATAACCATAGTGGCAAAACTGCCTTTTTTCTTTGCTGATGTTTGTTTTATCATCGTCCTTCCTTCCTCTTCATCCCTAAGCATATCCGTATGGCAGCAGGGTCCGGGGGGCTGCTCGGAGAGTCCCTCCGCTGCTGTTGCCTGTCGTGTACCTGAAGTCAGATGCTCTGGTTGTCGTTAGTGGCTGCTGTGGAAACAGGAACAGGACTTCAGCAGCAACAGTAGGAAGAGACATTTTTTCCAGGAGCTAAAAACAGCTCATTCTCCCCAGACTTCTTTCCAATTTCGTGGGGGTAGATGAATCCCTGCTTAGAGTTAACATCTGCCTCCAAGTTGGATGCCAAACCAGAAAGAGCTGTTTCTTGACTGATTTGAATTTAGCCCAGCTCATGCAAAAACCACCCAAAATGGTGGAAAAATACAGGTGATATTGGCAAGATGTAGCGGGGGTTTGAAAAGCCTGAGTCCAAGCGCTGCGTGTCTTGTTTGCAGTATTCAGATGGAACCATGTACAAGTTTGGCCTCGAATCCGAGCCCTGATTGCTGCCTAAATCTAATCCTGCGCCAACGCATCTCGGCTTCAGGCGGTCGCTGCTTAACCATCTGCCGTGGGAGGGCTGGGGAGCAGGGCAGCGGCTGGGCGGCGAGGAGCAGTCCCGGTGCGAGGAGGGTGCGAGGGCACAGGCTGGTTCACCGAGCCCGGCTCCCTGCTGCTGCAGCCGTCGCCTCGTGTAGCGTCTTCATAAACACGCTGAGCGTCAGTTTGGGTTTCCTTTCCTTTGCTTCTGTCATTAGGAAACTGTTCCAGAGACTGTTTGTATCAAAGATTAGAAAACTCCTAATTTCCAGCCAAAGCATGTTCAGGTCTATCTCATGCCCGTGCTTTCCTCCCACCCCCACGTTTTGCCAGCCCCGGTTTTTAGTTTAAGCAGTTCTTTTTCTGTCTTCCCACAATTTCTTCGTAGTCTGCAGTCGCATCCCTTCCCCGTGTTTGCCATGTGATCTGGGCCAAATGCTCTCCAGTTCCTCTGGTCCAGCTGCGTGCCAGCGCCAGCCTGTCCCCCACCGGCAGGACCCTCCGGCCCTTGGGGCGGGTGCGGGGCACACTCCCTCCCTGGGTCTGTCGGTCAAAACCAGCAGGAAAGGCATTTCATTGTTTTTTGCCCTAACACACCCTCCCTCCACCAGCCCCTGCAGTGCCCGGGCAAACAGACGATGAGCTCCTGCTCCTCCAGGCAGCCATAGCCGGGGACTGGGGGACCACGGTGTGGGATGCACGGTGGCCGTGGTGACAGTGCCCGGGGACTGGCGCTGGACATAGTGGGGAGAGGTGGGGAAAACAGACACGCAGAAAATCTGTGTGCTTGAACAGGGAAAGAGAGAGCCTGTCTCGGGCATTTCATCCCCTAGCTGGCAAGACAGAGCTCTAAAATGAGTGGACCTGAGAAAATGAGCAACTCTGTACGTTAAATTCATAGTGGGTTGAGAAGAATTTAATGAGCCTGGAAGTCTGTGTGATGACTTTCTGTTTGTAGCGCTGTGATCAGACAAGATCTGTGTCGCTCTGCAGTGAAGAGCTGGGTCGTGTGATGCCGGGAGAAACCAGTTGCTAACGAGCGTCAGGCCGGGTAACCAGAGAGCATGTGTGTGCCCAAAATGTGAGTGCTGGGGATGGTCTCGGTACCGCAGGGTGCTCAGCCCTCGGCAAACCCCGTTACCCCTCAGGGAGGCCCAAGGGCAGCAGCCGGGGACCTGGAGGGTTGTATCCGACTCCACCGACGCCGTGTGCAGAGCACGGTTCGGGGGTCAGGAGACCCTCGCTCCGCGTGGCAGGAGAGTGGGGTTTGCTCCCGAACACGCAGCCTGGACCGGGCTTTCCTCGCCTCCCCCCTGCACTGCCTTGAAGCAGCGAGATCAATACTGCAAAGAAAAGACAAATTAGCATCGATGGACTTCAGACCCAGAAACAGTTAAACACATTGATTTCTGCTGCTGTTCTCGTCGTCCTGACCCAGCCCAGGCTTCGCAGAGTTTGGCTTTGTCTTCCTCCACAGTGGTCCCACAGAGGCGTTTGTGTCCCTGCCGGGCTCAGCACAGCCTCTGCTGGCTCGTCCCAGAGCCCCCTCCCACCTTCTGCCAACATTTACTGGGACGTGGGTGACGGGGGGCTCAGGGATGGCCACGGGGGGCTTGGGGATGGCCCTTTCTGTGGTCCCCAACTTGGCTGATCAGAGCTTGCCTGTTCCTGCCGGGCGTTGAGCTGCCTTGTTTAGGGAATGGCTCCGGCCTCGCTGGTGCCTGGCTGCAGCCCCTGTGGGGTTTAGCAGTGATGTTACTGTGAGCAGCGGTGCTGCCCCGTTCCTGCTGCCCAAAGGTGTTGGGGTATCTCAGTACGTGTGGTGTGGGGAAGCCTCCAGAGATGCCCAGGGAGGAATTGCCCCTCTGCCCTGTGACGGTCGGGGGGGTTTACCGTGCCGGGGCAGTGGGTTGCCCAGGTCCGAAGCGTGTGGGACAGGACCCCCCTGTGCTGGGCTCCGTCGGTTGCCGCAGCCTGTGGGTTCCTCCCCCTCTCATGGTGACCCTGGAGCAGCCTGGAGCTGTCGGTGCCTGCCGGGGTCTCGGTAGGGTGAGAAGCTGCGGTGCCGGTCATGCCATCACCGGTGCCGTCGGTCACGCCCCCCCCTCCCTTTCATGGCGTGCAAAGTGCCTCGCGGGAAGTGTGAGAGCTGCTCACGGGGCGGAGAGGAGCCGGGGGCGCTGGGGGCTGGATGTGTCCCTCTGCGGCTGAGTCATCCGACCTTTCTGCCTCCGACATCCCCCGTTACAGCTCGGGGCAGCAGCACAAGCGCTCACTACAAACCTGAACGCTGCAGCTGCGCTGGGGCTGCTGTGCTGCGGCCAAGGGGGCTGTGAGGGGCACAGGCGCTTGGCCAGTGCTTGGGGGGGCTCAGCCAGCGCCCGTTGCTTTCCCGGGGTCCCCTCCTCTGCTGCAGTCCACACGGTGCATTTTTTCCCGGGCCACCGGGAGTGCTGGCGGTGCAGCCGCTGGCCATGGGGTCGGGGCTGGGCACGCGTACCCCTCCGTCACCGCTGTCCGAGAGGTGACGTGTCGCAGGTTGAGCTGTGGCTTCCTCCAAGATCTGTTTTTTAGCCGTTTTCATAGAACGGAGCAGGAGGGATCAGGTCGCTTTGGATGTAGAGAGGAGTCTGTGATCCGTTAGCGGTGGCGAATGGCCTCGAGAGCGTGGCAGAGGGACCGGAGCGTGACGTGCAGCGTGGGCTGCGTGTAACCTTGGTCTCCGGAAGGGAGAGACTCTCGGGCCTTATCCAGCGCTGACTCTGCCCCTGAGACAGAAATGCTGTGGGTGGGAAATGAGCTCTGCGGTGCCCTGACCCCAGTGTTCGCCCTCGCCGTTGCCGTGTTCTGGATGTCCCCAGGTGGGCTCTGCGGGGGCAGGGGCAGGAGCCGTCCCGCCTCCCCGCAGCCCCCCGCTGCCCCTCGCCCCCACCGCGCTCTCCAGCCGCTCGCAGCCGGTGCTGAGCGGAGCGTGCGGGATGGGGCGGGCGCAGTGCCAGGGCTTTCCGTGGGCATCTCACCCAACCTCCCCTCCGCATCCCCGGGGCGGGGACCACAGCCTCCTGCGTGGCTGGTGCCTACGGGCCCGGGGCTCCCGTGGAAACCCCGGGGCTTGTGGGAACCAGAGCCGTCAGCCGCAGGCTCGCTGCAGCTGCTGGCTCCTTCCAGGGGAGGAAGGGGACGTGTCCTGGCACCGGGGCTGCAGAGCATCACCTCTCCTGTGCTGCCGGCACGCAGACCGGCAAGCGTGGTCATCAGCCCGGTCAAACCTCGCTGCCCGCGATGGAGGCACAGTCTGGCCTTCTCCCCAGGCACGGTCAGCGGCTCTTCCTCCCCGTTCTCTGTTCCTGGGGTGAGGAGCACCTGGAGCAGGACTGCCTCTCTTAAGGAGGCTGCTAATCATTTACATGCTGAACTTTCTCTCTTTTTCTGCCCAGCTGAGCGTTTTCCTGGGAAGTAGCTCTTCATTTCTGTAGGGATGCGTTTGCAATTCTTGCTCTGTTCTGCAGGCTGATCCACCCTGTTAAAGCTCAGGTGTATTGAGCTCTCCCTAATGAGTTTAACGAGCGGGTTGCAGATAAGCGGGCTGTGCGGCTCAGCTCCCCGGGCTGCCGTCCCTCCTAAAGGACTGAGTGGCAGATTGGGCTGTTGGAAAGATGCACTCACGGAGTGCCCTGCAAGGAGCAGCCCTGAGACTGACAGAGGTATGGTACAGTCTCTGGAAGCTCTCCTGGGCTTTACTGTCCTTTGGCTGGAGCTCACCTCTTGGGTGATGGTGTTCCCCCTCCCCAGTGCCGTGGCCGGGGCTGAGGATGCCCCGTGGCAGCCGGTTGCCCCATGCTGCAGACCTGTTGGCTGTTGAGCAGTGAATAGCCACCTTTGAGGGCAGGCGGGGTTTTGTGGGAAGCTGCTGGTTGAGGCACTGAGTTTCTCACTTTGTTTCACTTCAGCAGCACCATAAAGGGGAGAAAATACTGTTAAAAATATTCCGTGCTCTGAGTCAGAATTAATTCGGACACTGTTTTCCTTTGTACGTTGAGGCTGATGATATGCACAGCGTGTTCTTCCTGCCAGGACAAAATCTAATATTTCTGGGTGCCCACAACCTTCCTTAGAATCATAATAGAAAGATGAATACCCTCAGCGCGCCGCATGCAATATTAAAGCGCTAATGATGCAATCAGTCTCCCTTAGCCCCAGTAACAAAGGAAAGAATTACGCTGCCCTTCCTGGGCCTAATTCCGCTCTGCGGTGTGGGCTCTGACTGCCGAGGAGATGGCCGGGTACCCGCGCCAGCCCCCTCCTCTGCCCGCTGCTCATCCCTGGGCCGGGCTCGTGCCGAGGGCTCGCGTGGACGGGGGGTCAGCC